GCTATACCTTATTTGAGAAATAAAAATAAGTATATTTTACAAAAAACTGAAAACAAAGTAAAAAACCCACTTCAAAGTCTGTAACGCCTTGCAAGTATAGCTGCATTTGGATGTATGAGAACCACTCCATCAGCGTCGTTGGAGTATCTTCTGAACCTCGCACCCCTCTTACCATCCAGGAGAAGCAAATGCAGATAGGACACATAGGAATCCTGCAAGACCATTAAAGAAATACGAGGGGTATTGACGCCAACTGGTACCGAACTGTGTTCACGTCTTTGATTGAAGATAATTTGATACCCAACTTACAATGGAAACGCATGATAGCGGAAATGGATCTCTGGAACTCTCTGGGAAAATATGCAGCAGTCGAACTGGCTGAAATTCTTCAATCATTAGCTTTATAACCAGAAGCATGCGGCAGCCTGAACAGGCTGCTCGCTTTTTGGAGGTGATCTGGGTTGTTTGGAGTAGGAAGATAACCACCCAAGAGAATCAGGGGGCTAAGTGCGGCTTCTAATTCATCAGCCGAAGTATCACCGCCACTGACTTTCGACCTGGTACCAGATTTTGGAACCAGAACCAGCATTTTGCGCGCCTGATTTTGTTGCCGCAGCACAAAGTTGTCCAAAAAACAACATTATTTTTTACATGAATTAAAACTCACATCGGCATATAATTTACAGCTTTAAATATTACTAACTAATAACATGATCCCTTTTTATGCGATAAAATCTATGAAAAAAATTATAAAATAAAGTCAACGAGAACCTGGCAATGTGTCTTTAAAGATACATTTAAAATTGAAAGTAAATTATTACGTATCTGACAGTGTGCATTTAGAGATACATTCGGACAATCCGCGTCATACAAGAATAATTATACAAAATTTGGGATGAAAAAACAGCACTATCAACAAGAAACCTTTATTTACTATCCATATTACTACAGATAATCACCAATATTCTTTAAAAAAAACACCGAAAATAATAAAAAATATTAGCCGGTGCGTAGACGCCTGTCAACGGTCTGACATTATGAATATTACTGTTAAATCTGTGCAGCCTGTAGCGATTCTATACTGTGTAACACAATCTGTAGTATTTGGTCTAACGTAATATTAAAAAAACATTTAAAAATAGTTTTTGGTTTCTCCCCCATATTTTTGTTTTGGTCAACGTATCTTTAAATGCACAATGCCAAGAAAAGGGTTAATGATGATGATTATGATCCGGAAAATCGGACTTTAGGTGTATTTAAATTAATTAGTTACTTCTTTATATTTCAGGCACTGAAATCACCGGACTGGCGCACCAGCTAGGCTACGAACGCGAGGTTATCAGAATATGGTTCTGTAACAAACGCCAGGCCCTCAAAAACACCGTTAGAATGATGTCCAAGGGCATGGTCTAAATTAAAAAAACAACCCCATGACAACTATAATGACAGCTCTCAAATCGGCGGCAAATTTGAATTTAGAATAAGTACTTTTAGAGATGGGATGCATCATTATATTGATGTCGATGTTTGGCTTCAAGATCTGCACGTAGATTCGTGATCTCGTCTCGATACTCACTTTATTGTTTGCATTAATAGTGTCTTACTTAGGAAGGTGTTTTGATGTTTCTTTTTATCAAATAATATTTTATAAATATTATTCTGGCCTTAACGCAAAATCTTTATGCGATTCCAGCCAACGTATGAAAAGGAAGTATCGATAAGCGTATTGTGTAATGTAATAAATTTCGACTGAAATATTCGTCTCGATGTAGTTTACAATGATAATGAATGGAATGTCATAGACTCATAAGATGTAGGTGTTTATTAGTACAAATAATAAATTGAAAATTTTTCAGCCTCGGCGGAGTAAGCAACTCACATATTTGTCTGTACTCAAAAATTTTGAAGTTCCAAATTCATTCCTTTGATGTAATCAGGTTCGAATTAGTAACACTACATGGCTTCGTTAATATAAATGGTAATTTTTTATAAATCCATTAAGCACTGTAACAGTATTATGCAATAACTCATGGTGGGACAAGCTGGTAATACGTAAGGCAATTTTTGAACGTTATGTGAGGCGGACTGTGGGTATTCCTAGCGATAGCCTTTTTTGTAAAAATATTGCATTTTGTAAATAAGTACAATTACATTTAACTCTCGGCGATAAATTTGTAATGTAGTTGATACATTAATTTATTGAAATACTCTGAGTTGTTTCGTTCTACTTAGCGAATGTTGCACTTTATAGTTTTAGAAATAATATTGATATTATGGAAGTAGATAATGTGTCGTCAGTCTTTAGTGGCCTACTGAGATTTTTTTAATCTTTGGTAGGTTTTTGTTAATAGATAGGTATAAAACGATATGTATAGATTAGATAGTAATTAATAATACTATCGTAAATTGTAAATATTGTTTCTTTAATTTTATTTCAATAAATTGTATTATTAGTTTAAATTAACTTTAATTTCGTAGCTTTTTGAATAAAATTGTAGATGCAAGTTGGATTTTTTGGCAACGTCGGAAATATCATTTATATTTAAAATATTGTTTCGATTTCATAATACAATTTCCAATAGAAAATACAACTAACAGATGGTCTTGAAGAACTAAGTTAACAATAAATATTTAATGTGCATATTTTTGGGTAGATTAATATTAAACTATAAAAATTGCCTCGCATTTGGAACTGTAGATTTTGAAAGTATATACATATTATATAGAATTCCAAAAAGACAAATTTTGAGATTTAAGTAATTATTTTAGTGATCGGAGTGCCCGAAAAGTATGCACAAATAAATTTATCTAAGGTTTCATAAATTTTCACTTATAAATTAGTTACACGCTCACTTGTTTGAAGGTACGTCTGTAACTCTCTTTAAAATTTAAAACTAACCAAATAATCTGGTAGCTAAATTAAAAAAAAATAGTTGTTATCTCTTGCTAATTCTCAAGTTTTTTGTTTAGGTGTTTTATTTATCTATTTATTTTAATACATTTATTTTTTTGACGGTGTTACAAAGTGTTAAACTTCATTTTTACAATTCAGTTTTGCTCTAAAATATTATAAGTACTAAGTAGTGTTAATTGAGTCATCAGAGAGAGTTACACACTAACTAACAGTTCATTACGTGAAATTTCTGAATTATTATTACTGTTTGAAACTGATCTTAGTAATAATTTGAGCATTTAAAGTTTGTATAAATTCTATCATGAATATTAATAAATTTTAGTATGGTGTGTAAATAATTTAGTTAGAATGTTTTCAATTTAAGACCTGCTGTTAACTGTATTACCAATAGTATTAAGGATGTAATGTAATGTATGTTAATGACCAATGAAAACCAACTTGTGATCATTAATATTTGTACTGTTACCTACTACTTAACAAGAGTCGTTAAAAAATAATATTATAAAAATTGAACATATTTTTCGGCTGTTGAAAAATTGTAAATACAATATTAAGGATAATAAAACTATTTGGATTAATATTTAGGAACAAAGTGAAAAAATATTATCAAAATTTATATTTTCAAAAATTATTACAAGTGCAAAAAAAGTGTATTTAAAAAAGGGATGTTTGGCCATACAAAAAAATTAATCATGGATTTTTTATCGACTACAGACAACACTACACACACAAGCAGTAAGGTACACAGTGACATAGATAGTCCGTGCGATGCGATATTGCGCGTAATCTGTACTTATATTTTGCCGAATCAGATTTTTCATAAAAAACCTGTCACCCACAATAATTGTAACTTTAATTTATTGGTTAAATCGTAAGTAGCTCCCTCTTGCATGTACCTAATCATAGGCAATAAAATAGATATCTTTACCATTTCTTTTGTACAGAAGCTTCCATAAACAAAACTTTAACTTCCCGTTGATTATTTTTACTGCAGACAATCAATAGTTAATAACGAGCATTCTTGTGCTTTTGTAAATAACACATACCTACCTAATTATGAAAAATCTGATTCCCAACAAACACTAGTTTAATAGAATGAAGCATAGGATGCTAAGTACAAATGATATAATTTAACTATAAACTGCTAGTCCCGTTAAAGTGTAATTAATGTAAATTACAATGCATTATCGCGTTGCACTCTGGTTTTCATGATCCGTATGTAACTATATGAAATAGATTAAACTCTACTTACACATAACTTCAGCTGTAACACATATTCAAACCAAACTGTAACAGTATGTAATAGTATATTAATTTTTCTTCCTATAATGGTACCGAACGATTGACTATGGCTGCTGGTTTATGATGAGATGCAGAATAAAGGCAAATAACTGTTTGAATGATTGTTTTAATACTAAACCCTAACACCCCAATACCTACCTACTTAATTTATTGTTCAGTAAAAAAAATCCCATCACTAGCATTCCACTGGAAAGTGGAACTATTGAGATTGACCGAAAACTATCGAAAGCATTACTGATAAAATCGATACGGAATTTTTTGAAATTAATTTAAGAAGTTACTTTAACATAAATTTTAAAAACCTTTACATAAAAAAATATATCGATATCTCAACTTAAAATTTATCGATAAATGCTCTCTGCACACTTGTTAGCTAGACTGCTTTGAATTTAAAAATCAAATAGCGCCATCTAGTAAGCTACACAGGTACTGTAAATGCGTGTGTGATAGAAATAAACGACAAAAATATTCAGAAGAAAATAATATTTCTAACAAAGGTTTCATTTTTTGTGTAATGTAAAGTAAATAAATTAGAGTAACAATTAAAATATGTTTTTCATAAATATGTAAATTCAAAATAAAATATGAAATATGATGTAAAACGAAACGCGTAGGTTGCCTTGTCAGTTTGACAGATCTGAGCAAACGTCACGCACGACACGACACAATGAAAAAGCGCCCCAACGCACTTGGCTGTAACAAATTGATTTGGATTATATCTACCTGAGTTACGGTTGCTTATTGAATACTTTTAGAGTGGTTATGTCCAATCATTTTGAAGAACATCAAAAAAATTTCAATATGGCGAAAAAAGGATCAGGCGTCCGTCAGACGACAGACGTCATTGCGTTTTTGTAAAGATATCGACAAATAAGTATTTTAAAAATAGATTTTTAAACAACTGTAGTCTATTTTGAGATTATCAGGCCTTATTTAGACGCCGTCGTGTCTTACGTAATTACATGTGTGATAAAAACTTCTCGGGCTTCTGTAAATAAATCGTCGATAAATAAACATGGTGATCTATTGAATCCTAATGTGTTCAGGGCTAGAGCTCGTCTAGAATTACGTCACGATAGTATAGTGTGCCGGTTGAGATGGCATAAGGTTAAGTAATTAAGTGGAAGGTCCCTGATGATTCACGATAATTGACGTAGGTACTTGAGGATTGTCGCGCGTGGTGTTGTGGTCTTGCCGTCGACCTAGACGGGGCGTTGACGTATCTGATAGGAATCCGGTAGTGATAAATCGTAGATGCGATGATCGAGAGTGTATCCCGCCGCGCGTTCAGTAGTACCAGCGGTACATACAACGTGCGAGCTTCGGAGCTGGCGCGAGAACGCAAGTTGAACATATTCAATGTCACTGTGCAGTTTTTGGATGACACCCAGCAGTCGTTTCAGATCGAGGTAAGTTTATTTTGCTGTCTGTGAATGTCTATAACCTGTTGGAACTTGTAAACATCTTCTTCATCATGAACGAAATCTCAAAACCTGATGAAACTTGATTCTACTGTGTGGTTACAAGATAGATATTTTTCTATAATTTATTGTCAAATATTTATTAGTTCTAAATAATTCAAAAGAATCCCAAGGTGTTCCTCATGTGTGTCTGGTAATTATTTATTTACAACATAATGTTACTCCCTTAGATTAATAAAACCTAGATGGATAATCTTCATACAAACACTTCGTCAAGAGTGAGACAAAAATCTTATGTCATTAGTGTCAATTTTGTTGGGGAATGTAGATAGTGAAGGCGATTTTCCCGAAAGTAGGGAAATTTTTAATAAATTTTTAATTATTTTATAATTTACAAAAACAAAACGCATCATGTACTTACTTATTTATTGAATTCAAAGTACGTACCTAATTACAATAAGATAAATCGACTTAAGTCTCGATTTCATAAAAAAAGGAAGTGTACTTGTACGGCGAACAATTGGGAAATAAATTTTCTTGTTACTGGTATCATTCCCGTATTTAATTTTTGAAAGCCAAATTCAAGCAAAATACGCGTCGAATCGTAGTACTTACTTATGAAATGTAACACTGGTCACTTTCTTTCGTTTTTCTGATGTATTTAGACACCCTTTCACATTCACAGCACAAACCGTCTTAATTAATTAAAAGTCGTCGGACGTGTTTACCAATTTTTCTTTGACAGTTCATGTGATGTTTAGGAGTGAGCCATTCAGGCTCACTAAAATCTGCCTCACCTTTCGTGCACTGACTATCTATCTAGGTTTTATTAATCTAAGGTTACTCCATAATAAATAATTCTATGACTTGTATTCTTGTAGCTGAATGTACTGGACTGTTTTGGGGCTTCCCAGTCTTGAATCATGTGATATTGTGTGGGCTATGAATGTGTCATTTTAGTAATATTGTAAATTCCGTTTATTCTCTGAAACTGTATCCAAAAAAAGACAAATATTGGGCTGATAGTTTATTTTGAGTCTTCAGATAAGTACAGTCAGTGTCAAATAGTTTGTGACACCCAAAGTGACCTAAAAGTTGACAACACAACCTTAGTCCAATAAAATGTAATAATATGTGTTGCAAATTATGTTGACTACTCTGGGTGTCATGAACTATTTGATACTGACTGTATATCTGGGACTCCATCTGACTGTACATACAGTACCTAATAAAGCTGCTTAATATCTTATTTTAATTGTTGTGATTTCAGAAAAAAGCAAAAGGAAGTGTTTTGCTTGAACAAGTATTTCAACACTTGGAATTGATAGAGAAAGATTATTTTGGTCTCCAATTCACTGAAAACGGATCACCGCCAAATGCCACTAACACTGAAATAACGGTATGGTATAAATTTTAATTTTCTTGTTCAATAAATTAGAACTATTTCATCTTTTATTATGAACTATACTTAGGCTGAGTTGCACCACCTAACTTTAACGGTAACTATAACGATAACCGGTGCTTTTTGTATGTAGTTTGACAGTTTTTTGACGTTTGTCAAAGTTAAAGTAAGATGGTGCAACTCAGCCTTAGAATTTGGATTAGGTTTGTATGAATACAAATGTTTTGAGATAAAAATCTCAAGAATGTATGATGTGACCAAACTTAACTATTGCTAGGTGAAGTAATGTTCATTTTACTGAAACTTGTAGGAGATTTTGGTAATTATATTTCCTAAGTTTTCAAATCCTATTATAGCAAACTGTACTTCAGTCATGGATGCTTGCTTGCTTTACTGATTTTAGGCCTCGCTAATTGGTATACTTGTTGAAATATTTAAACACCTCCTCCAAAAATCATTTATGTGTTACGCTTATTGATTTTAATGCAAAACTGCATACGTAAGCGTGACTAATAGGTAAAAGAATTAATAACATCAGTAGAGTTTTTATTGCTCATAAAAATATGAGTCACATCTTTGTGGAATTAATTTTTAATTCACCTTTGAAGATAAAAAAGTGTCATCAATCTCAGCTTCCAGTCATTTTATGAATTCTTATCATATTACTGGTTCACAAACTGAGAACAAAGATAATATTGATTTAGCTAGATGCTACTGTTAATTAAATAAACCATTTAGCTCAAAACTGTGTTAGTAGGCTATTGTCTATCAATTAGTATTGTGAATTATCTTCCAAGACCTTACTGCAGACCTGACTGATAAGCCTTTGTATTCATAAAATAAAACAGAGAGAATACTTGTAAATAACAAATGATTCAAGTTTTGATAAACAATTGAGAATGTTACTAGGTATGCAAAATCACTTGAAACTTATGTTACAGTTAAGCTTTTACATTTACAAATACATTAGTTTTTATTTCATTCAAAAATACCCAGTAGTTATGATTTTATAGGCATTCAAAGTTCGCTTAAATATTGAGTCCCGCCGACGGTCACGTGACCCCGCGTGACGTACATTCACAGTGTCTGAAGGGAATCAGGTATATTTTAAAGTAAAAATGCGAAATAATTTCAACAGACATGTGTACTGATCGAATCCAAACAGAGAGAGTAAAACAAAAGAATGCCGAATGATTTTTCACTGTCACAATATCCANACCTATAAGCTTATCACACACATAAAAGCATGGTTTAATTTAAAAAAAAATGTAGCTTCTGTAAAAAATTTCATTTTGCGGAAGGAAGCAAAGTCGTGTAAAAGGTTTTTTTATTAAAGACCTACTTAATTAATTAGTTTTTAGAACAAAAAATAAACTCGTAACGTGATAAGGTGTAAGTAACTAATTTGCTCATTACATTTTTAGGGTAGATTTGGATTAAGCTCCGTCCAGTAGTCGTCGTTGAACTCACAGCTGATTGTGGCTGATAGTTGACTGACTCATGGGCGAGCGCGGGTAGTGGGGCGCGGGACGGGGGGCGCAGCGTTTGCCCGGGTCACCGGGTGAGCGCCGCGCGCCGTTTGCGTTGGGGGACTATTCTACACTGTAGTGGTCGATTATGGAAATCGTAGATATTTAAAATATAATTTAAAAAAAATTTGAAGTCAGTTTTTTTGCTGATTCGTGATCAGAATAAGCTACTTAATCAACTCCCTAAATATGGCGGGTATTGAAATCAACACCCTGTATATGTTGTTGGTATGCCATATAAATAAATAAATAAATAAATAAACACAGTTTAACTAGTTTAACAGAATGCCAAATGTATCTACACTGCTAAATTGCAACGGGTAGGTAAAACAGTTACACAGTCATTATTTCACAAATTTTGCATAAAATAAACATTAATGCTTACTAACCTTATATATCCTTACAATTACACATAAAATATACCTTAGTAGAGTGCTGGGTCCTAAAATTAATCACTTTTTATACCATTTCGCTCACACGTTCAAACCGTTGAACTTGAACTTTGAACCTCGACCACTCTTTGACGACGCGCAATCCCCAGTGCCAATAACTGCGCTTTCCGTAACTTCCTCGATTGCAATAGTTATCCGGCTCGATCCAGGACCATGAAGGGAATCAGGTATATTTTAAAGTAAAAATGCGAAATAATTTCAACAGACATGTGTACTGATCGAATCCAAACAGAGAGAGTAAAACAAAAGAATGCCGAATGATTTTTCACTGTCACAATATCCAAATAGGTTTTATATCACTCGCGATCGCGAACAGTGTCCGCTCTCTAGAAAACGGATATAAACATACTTAAATACATTTTTTTTTGTAAATACAAACTTATTATACATATTAACACCCAGACCCATCACAGAAATTAAAATTGAACCAAACCCAAACTTGATGCGATTGTGTCGTTTTATTGCGAATTACCTTCCAGCTCCATCATCAGACCCTGATTACTATATAGAATTAAAATACTCATCAATACAAAACGAACGAGCCCAAACTCGATGCATTTAAGTCGTTTTATTATAGAGTTCCTATGGCCACCTTCCAGCTCCATCATCAGATCAGCTCCTTGTCATCATAATATTGCATGGTCATCCAAATCACGTGTTTGCGAAATTTCAGCTTAATCGGTTGTCTGGAAGTGGGTCTTAATTCAGCTTCCAAGATTCCACCCATACAAATATGAGCCAGTCACTGTAATATGACGTCACGCGCATAAAATGGCGGGCCGGCCGCCGCCCGCACTTTTAAAATTCAATATCTTGGAAACTAATTGACGTATCGAAATAATTCTTTCACGTGTATTTTTTATTTTTAACAGAGAATACAAAAAGCTAAAAAAAATTAGTGAACATTCTTCATTGTAATTATTTTTTTCAATTTACGAACATATTGTGCAAAAGTGTGTTACTCTGAGAGGTGTTTAATTAAAACTCGAAGGTGTATTTACACTGAATATTCAATTCACTAAGGAAAAGTTACGTTATTTATAATCATATTAAATATTCTATTTTATTTTCAGCGCTGGCTAGACAGTGGCAAGTCAGTTAAGAAGCAAGTAGGTGCCAACGCACAGTTCTGGTTGGCGGTGCGTTTCTACCCACCAGAGCCGTCCCGTTTGGCCGAAGAGTTCACAAGATACCTGCTGTGCTTGCAACTCAGAAAGTTGCTGCTCGATGGAAGAATGACAGCGCCAAAGAACACAGCACTATTGTTGGCCTCATTTACGGTTCAAGGTAATTTATTAAAGATTAAAATAAGTTTTTATACTTTATGTATAGGACATCTATAATCAGTGGACTATTGTTTAAATCTTATATTTCACTCGTCATTATTGATTAAAGGAAGTTTCCGTTCTTGAGTCCAGTTAAAAATAGGTTTAAATACGTACCATATTGCCTGAAAATTTGTCATACAAGATAATATGAAACAGAATACATGATAAGTATAAAAATGAAATACTGCTATGCATCTGGCTAATATTTATACATTAAATTATTCTCTGATACTCACTTAATAACCAATTGAATACCATAGTTTAAAATTAACCACTACCTACCCTAATTTGGAACATAAATATTCCCGTTTCCTTTTACAATAATTGTATTATTAGCAGATCTGACTGTAACAGGAAACTTACCCTTATCGCACATATGTTACAATAACGTCACTTATGCAATTTTTGTCAAAATTGAACCGAGTATGAGGAAATTTTTTTATAGTAATTTGTAAGATGTTTGGTTTTACTTTTAAATGAAATTCAAAGTTTTAGTTAATTTATTATCATTTTATTTCTTTAGTCGAAGAGAACTGTACCAGCCATAGGATGTTGAACTTTTAAATGCTTCCCCAGAAAAATTTAACCATTTGCATAAATGACATTATTATACCGTATGCGATATGTTATTTCAAATTTACGCGTAATTTAGACAGTCAAGATGTATAGATTTGATCAGGGCTTATTTTATTGCTCATTTTTAAAAACTTCGTAAAATGTTTTTTAGTCTTATCTTATCAACATGCATTGTTCCTTATCAATGCACTGTATCATATAAATTACAACTCCTATAAATAGTTTAATAGAACACACTTTATTGTACACCATACAAGAAAACTAAAAGAAAAAAATATTCATAAGATACGGCACATTTTAGGAGCTCTTATAGCAAATTTCTAAAGGATAATTATCATGATGATTATCATGATAATAACAGATGAATAATAAAATTAACTGTATTCGAAGTTTTGTGTCTAGGTGGGAGTTAAGCAACATAGATAGTTATAAAACCTATCTATTTAGCTCCACAATGATCTACGGTCAAAATATTTATCTATTTTCCAAGCTTTATGCGACTAGCGATAGATAATTTGACAACAATCAGCAACGAAAAACAAAGCAACATTTGCACAAGTTCTTATCAAACAATATGACAAATGTATCTTAAGAAGCGTAATTTAACTATCTTGATAATTTTGAACCCTGTTTATAATCCATTTTCAGCCGAACTAGGCGACTACAACGTATCAGAACACCCTCCAAACTACCTTTCCGAGCTATGCTTGCTACCAAAGCAGACCGGAGAAGACGAGCGAAGGATCCGAGAGCTTCACAAACTACACAAAGGACAGGCCCCCGCTGATGCTGAAGCTAACTTCCTGGAGCACGCTAAGAGGCTGGACTGTTATGGCGTGGAGTCCCACCCGGCTAAGGTAAGACATAATAAGTATAGGAACAAAAATAGCAAAAATAAGACAAAGGAGGAACCATGACTTATACAAATCGCGCAAGGATTCCGTTGCAAAAAGGCTAGACTGTTTTGGCATGGAGTCCCACCCGGCTAAGGTAAGACAGAGATAGAAAGGCAAATAGAGCAGGAAAAATGAAAGAAGAATCCGTGAGCTTCACAAACTACACAAAGGACAAGCACCGGCAGACGCTGATGCAAATTTTCTGGAGCATGCTAAGAGGCTGGACTGTTATGGCGTGGAGTCCCACCCGGCTAAGGTAAGACATAATAAGTATAGGAACAAAAATAGCAAAAGTAAGACAAAGGAGGAACCATGACTTATACAAATCGCGCAAGGATTCCGTTGCAAAAAGGCTAGACTGTTTTGGCATGGAGTCCCACCCGGCTAAGGTAAGACAGAGATAGAAAGGCAAATAGAGCAGGAAAAATGAAAGAAGAATCCGTGAGCTTCACAAACTACACAAAGGACAAGCACCGGCAGACGCTGAGGCAAATTTTCTGGAGCATGCTAAGAGGCTGGACTGTTATGGCGTGGAGTCCCACCCGGCTAAGGTAAGACATAATAAGTATAGGAACAAAAATAGCAAAAGTAAGACAAAGGAGGAACCATGACTTATACAAATCGCGCAAGGATTCCGTTGCAAAAAGGCTAGACTGTTTTGGCATGGAGTCCCACCCGGCTAAGGTAAGACAGAGATAGAAAGGCAAATAGAGCAGGAAAAATGAAAGAAGAATCCGTGAGCTTCACAAACTACACAAAGGACAAGCACCGGCAGACGCTGAGGCAAATTTTCTGGAGCATGCTAAGAGGCTGGACTGTTATGGCGTGGAGTCCCACCCGGCTAAGGTAAGACATAATAAGTATAGGAACAAAAATAGCAAAAGTAAGACAAAGGAGGAACCATGACTTATACAAATCGCGCAAGGATTCCGTTGCAAAAAGGCTAGACTGTTATGGCATGGAGTCCCACCCGGCTAAGGTAAGACAGAGATAGAAAGGCAAATAGAGCAGGAAAAATGAAAGAAGAATCCGTGAGCTTCACAAACTACACAAAGGACAAGCACCGGCAGACGCTGAGGCTAATTTTCTGGAGCATGCTAAGAGGCTGGACTGTTATGGCATGGAGTACCACCCGGCTAAGGTAAGAGAGATAGATAGACAAAAAGAGGGCAAGATGAGCGGAGCTGCACAAACTACACAAAAGACAAGCCCCGGCTGATGCTGAAGCTAACTTCTTGGAGCATGCTAAGAGGCTGGACTGTTATGGCGTAGAGTCCCACCCGGCTAAGGTAAGACAGAGATAGGTAGACAAAAAGAGAGCAAGATGAGTCAAGCTGCACAAACTACACAAAGGACAGGCACCCGCTGATGCTGAAGCTAACTTCCTGGAACACGCTAAGAGGCTGGACTGTTACGGTGTGGAGTCTCATCCGGCTAAGGTAAGACAGAGATAGACAGACAAAAAGAGTGAGCAAGATGAGTGGAACTGCACAAACTACACAAAGGACAAGCCCCGGCAGACGCTGAGGCTAACTTTCTGGAGCATGCTAAGAGGCTGGACTGTTACGGCGTGGAGTCCCACCCGGCTAAGGTAAGACAGAGACAGATAGACGAAAAGAGACGGCAAGATGAGAGGAGAAACCTCAAAGGAAAACTGCTCCAAGTCCCAGGCTTGGAGACACATTTTGTGGTGCTTGAGAGGCTGCACTGCTACCTACTGTTCCTATCGACGTCCATAGTGTCCAAACGCCGACGTCAACGTCTAATAGAGACTAAAGCCCGGTCTCCGAGCACGTATAATTTTGTCCAATGACCCCAAGCTACCCATCCTACACAAAACTCTACGTGCTCGGAGAAAAGACTATACAACAGTACAATTATATAGTAAGTATTGCAATGTGGCCTGCGGCATGACTTTGGACACTGCCTACGGCGTTTATAGGAGACCACAGCCTTACTGGGTGTAAGTTCTAGGTGAACTTTTTATGTATAGGGTTCAAGCTAGCCTAAATCGAGGTTTTATTTTTGCTATGATCACTGTATAAAATAATTCATGCAGAAGATTATTGTTACCTTCTTTTTGGCCTTGCGTTTTAGTGGAAAACACAACATCCACTTTGATAGTCGATCACAATACTTACATAAATAATACTTATTATTTACTCATTAACGACTTACCGATAAATAAATATTTATAAATATTCTAGGTAAAGCTAATTAAGATAACAATCAAGTTAATAATTGTTATGTTATCTATTTTAGGATTACAACGGCAAGGACATTTTCATTGGCGTGACGTCAATTGGCATAGTTGTCTTCCAGAACAACATACGAGTGAACACTTTCTCTTGGAGCAAAATCGTCAAGATTTCTTTCAAGAAGAAACAGTTCTTTATACAGCTGAAACGAGAACCTGTAAGTAACCGTAGATATTACGTCACCATTTTAACTAGGAAAAAAAAACTATAAGTACTACACTATTCTGTGTAGAAAACACTAGGGGTGAGTTGCACCACCTAACTTTGACTATAACTTTAACGATAACCGGTGGTTTTTGTATGGATTTTGACAGATTTATGACGTTTGTCAAAGTTTAAGTAAGATGTTGCAACTGCAATCGAGTCTAGTAGGTCTTGTAAAAATAACAAATGCCTTTTTAGTTGAAGATTTAGAATATTCGTGACGTCATTCATTTGACATGTTAAAGCAACACGCAGCGTCCTCACGTCCTCACACTAGATAATGTCATTAGTGTAGTTTGAGCTAATTGCATACGTTTAAACGGTGCTTACATCTTTATTTCGAGAATCATTGATGTATGTACAATTAAATGCTGTTGAAAGTGTTGAAACATTGTTAAACAAATAAAAATAAAATGATTCCAATACCTATTTGTTTGTTTTCAATACTTATTTGTTCATGAAATAATTATTCATTTTGGAAACATCAATTTTTCTTGCGCGATACCTAGATAACTTAATAATTAAGGTACAAAAATATTAATTTAAAAATATCTTTTTTGCAGTCTGAATCTTACGACACAGTGCTAGGCTTCAATATGCGTTCAGGACGCGCTGCAAAGGCCCTCTGGCGGTGCAGCGTCGAACGACACGGCTTCTTCCGCCTTAGTGCGCCTAGGAGGCGGCCCCTACTAGGCGCCCTAGGAGCCCTAGCGGGAATTACCGCGCCTACTGTTCCTAGGACTGAGACGCAGGCGTTGGAAGACGCTAGGCGGTCGCGGTCTACGAATAGGAGCTTTGTAAGGTGAGTGTCTTTAGCATTATCTGACTCTTACGTCTACTAGGAGCCTAGGAGGCGGCCCCTACTAGGCGCCCTAGGAGCCCTAGCGGGAATTACCGCGCCTACTGTTCCTAGGACTGAGACGCAAGCGTTGGAAGATGCTAGACGGTCGCGGTCTACGAATAGGAGTTTTGTAAGGTTAGTGTTTTAGCGTTGTCTTGAGTCTTACAACAGTGATAGGTTTCAATATGCGTGTCGAAACCCTTTGGCAGTGCAGCGTGGAACGACACGGCTTCTTCCGCCTTAGTGCGCCTAGGAGGCGGCCCCTACTAGGCGCCCTAGGAGCCCTAGCGGGAATTACCGCGCCTACTGTTCCTAGGACTGAGACGCAAGCGTTGGAAGACGCTAGACGGTCGCGGTCTACGAATAGGAGTTTTGTCAGGTGAGTGTCTTTAGCATTATCTGACTCTTACGTCTACTAGGAGCTTAGGAGGTGGCCCCTACTAGGCGCCCTAGGAGCCCTAGCGGGAATTACCGCGCCTACTGTTCCTAGGACTGAGACGCAAGCGTTGGAAGATGCTAGACGGTCGCGGTCTACGAATAGGAGTTTTGTAAGGTGAGTGTCTTTAGCATTATCTGACTCTTACGTCTACTAGGAGCTTAGGAGGTGGCCCCTACTAGGCGCCCTAGGAACCCTAGCGGGAATTACCGCGCCTACGGTTCCTAGGACTGAGACGCAGGCGTTAGAAGACGCTAGGCGGTCGCGGTCTACGAATAGGAGTTTTGTAAGGTGAGTGTTTTAGCATTGTCTGAGTCTTACATTAGTGTCTAGTCAAGTGTAGGGCGGTGCAGCGTGGAGCGACACGGCTTCTTCCGCCTTAGTGCGCCTAGGAGGCGGCCCCTACTAGGCGCCCTAGGAGCCCTAGCGGGAATTACCGCGCCTACTGTTCCTAGGACTGAGACGCAAGCGTTAGAAGACGCTAGGCGGTCGCGGTCTACGAATAGGAGTTTTGTAAGGTGAGTGTCCTTAGTATTATCTGACTCTTACGTCTACTAGGAGCCTAGGAGGCGGCCCCTACTAGGCGCCCTAGGAGCCCTAGCGGGAATTACCGCGCCTACGGTTCCTAGGACTGAGACGCAGGCGTTAGAAGACGCTAGGCGGTCGCGGTCTACGAATAGGAGTTTTGTAAGGTGAGTGTTTTAGCGTTGTCTTGAGTCTTACAACAGTGCTAGACTTCAATAAGCGTGTTAAGGCCCTCTGGCCGAGTACTGTGGAGCGACACGGCTTCTTCCGCCTTAGTGCGCCTAGGAGGCGGCCCCTACTAGGCGCCCTAGGAGCCCTAGCAGGAATTACCGCGCCCACTGTTCCTAGGACTGAGACGCAGGCGTTAGAAGACGCTAGACGGTCGCGGTCTACGAATAGGAGTTTTGTAAGGTGTACGTTTGTTGTAGTGTTTTAGCATTTTATGAGGTCTAGTCAAGTTACAGGTGATGTAGCGTTGAGCGACACGGCTTCTTCCACTTTACTGCTAGGCGTTCTAAGAGCTCTAGCGGGTTGTCACGACTGACTTTGTTACCACTGAGGCAGAAATAATCCCGATTGTCACCAGTGGCGACGTATAACACATATTTTCCCAGTTGTAGCTACAAGCTTTCTCACCACTGACAAATGAGTAAAATACATCCCAATTTATCGCCAGTGGGGACGTACGACACAGGTTTTGTCGCAAATGTCACCATGTATGACTACGCTTAGGACTGAGGACTTGACGTACAATCTCTATGCTGGCCATACCTATACAGGGTGTTAGGTAAATGGGTATATGAGCCGACACTAGCCCATGTTAACATGGGCATATAAATGGTATGGTGAAGTCAGAAAATTTTTATCTTCATTTTAATTATTTTAATTTTCATACAAATCGGATTTAAAAAAANAAAATAATAATAATTTATTTAGTTTTGTATGGGAAAATATTTTTTATTAAATATTACAATATCCACTTTCTGACACCACTATAGTATTTATATGAGTATGTTAACATGGGCTAGTCTCGGCTCATATACCCATTTACCTAACACCCTGTATACAGGGTGACTTTTGTATCAGTATCCAAATTTTTTCCTGACATTAGGTATCGTTTATAGATGACATTTTTAATAAAAAATAGGTAGGTCAAATTTTAACATCAACTATTTTTTTCCTAACCAATTAATCACGTAGTGTGGTTACCGCGCTTAGCGCGTAAACATTTTGCGGGAGAGCTGGTCGAGCGGAGAGCTGGCAACGTGTGGCAACGCTCGACCGGCCGGCCTGGCCGCGCGGCGCAGTGATGTTCTTGATACGGCAATTGCCGTAATATACGGCATTCAGGCATCTTAGGCACCATAAATACGGTATACGNCTCGCAAATTCAGCCTCACTCCGTTCACTAACTTGCGAATCATCATCACACGCGCACTCAATTTTCAACTGAACCTCATCGTAAGAATCGTATAAATGTTCGACCTTACCGATCCTCAATTGTAACTCCTTGGCATCGCGACAACAAAGCGAGGATGCTTCCAAACCGGTCAAATAATTGGAAAATGTAGTGAGACGACCCTTTATGCTTCCACGTATCCTTTTCAAGTCCTTATCGTCCATCATTTTGGGAGACTCAGGTCGGCTTGGTACTTTCAATTCACTAGTCATCCTGGAATTTATACATTTAAAACGTTCAGAATGTACTTAGTACTCTTAATAATTATTCCTAAATGNAAAAAAAAAAAAAGAACGGCTGGGCCGATTGAGCTAATTTTGGTTTTAAAATGTTTGTCGTAGTCCAGGGTAGGTCTAAACGGTGAGCAAATACGCGCGCGATATTGTTTTTCTGTGATAGACAAAATTCCACGCGGGCGAAGCCGCGGGCGAAAAGCTAGTAAGTAATATACCTCAGTCAGTTGGGCGTATGTCAGTCAGTTATTTTATCGTTAGATTATCATCAATACAATAACCATACAATAACTAAACCATTCGCCAAAATTATCTTCAAGTGGCCTAAAAGCTACATAAGCATGGCTATAAAAATGACATAAAATTTTCTACTACATAAATGTTCCGATAATTCAATAAAAGATAACAATAATGGCAAATCCTTAAAAAAACAGAATAACTGCAAAATGCTATTATTAGATGATTATAAAAATGGTTCAAAATACAACTTATTGCTGCTATTATTTGTAGAAAAAACATTTCAAGAATTCTTTTTAAACTAAGCTTCATTGCAGTCAGCCGAAAAAAGGAAGGAAATTATTATTAATTTCCGCAATAATTAAGTTTCTCAATTCTTAACAGAACCAACCAGATTTCGTCGAAATAACTGGCATCAGGATCCTGGTGATCGGCTTCGGGCCTACAGCAACGCCACTGATGGCAGACGTCAAGAACAAAGTGTACGAGGCAAAACTTGGCAAACCATACGAGGGGGTGGAGGTTCCGTGTCAAAAGTAAGTTTGGGAAAAAAAAAATTTAGTCTTCTATTTTATGCGAAGGGTGCTGTGCCTGTATCTAGATTTTTTGGGGGCCCCTCAATTAAAATTTGCAAACAGGGCATATGTACTTTGCAAATGGGGCCCCCTTAGGTACCCTAACCTTGTGGAGCCCTTAGGCAGTTGCTTAATCTGCCAAATGGTTAATCCATCCCTAGGCTCCTTTGGCCCGGGGGCCCCGTATCATTGATACGGTGGTGGCTACGTCCCTGCTTTTATACTTTACCGATTTTTAGAGGACCTTTACGTTCTTTACGTGAGAAGTAGAATAAAAATATACATACAAATAATATATTATATACATATTTTATGTATTTTGTAATACAGATAGGAAGTATTGAAACGTCTAGATAAGATTAAATTATATCATTGTACCTTCCTAACTTTCTGACTGTGGAGTTATTCAACGTAAGGAAGGATTGCTATTAAACTTTATGTAGGCGTTTTGTTTTGAATTTGTTTTTTTTTATGGTAAAAAACAACGCGTTTTTAGAATTCACATTTATTAGAAAAATCGCTAAATAGCCACACAAGCTCCACAAAAAAGATTACATACTTTGTTACACAAAATAATAAAGATAATTAATTTAGCAACGTTTTATCTTAATTGTTTCAGGGTTGAATCAGCAGTAAATGCCTTTTTCAAGATGTTCAAAGAAGGTGAAAATGGAAGCGTTTGGATGTCAGTGAAAGATAAGCCTGTGAAGAACTTCACACCCCATATAGAAAAGTTTCTCGAGGACTATATGCAGATATTGTATAGTGATGAATAAATGATCTTAAATGGCTCTGTATTCTATTAAGCAACAGTAATAAAACTTTGTTAAATTAAATAACTTTACCTCGCTCCCCAACGTACTACCTATGTGGTTGTTTTATTTTCTACTAGCTGATCCGGCAAACTTCGTACCGCCTAAGTTTTACAGATGTGACGTAATAATAGTTAGTTAGTTGTAGCTAGGTCCTTCCTACGTTGTTGGGATTCTCATATAATTTTAAGTTATTACTTAGTTACTTTTATTAAACGATTCTCGAAAACAAACTTGACTTTCACTGGTTGGGTTTTTATTGGCGGTCTAACTGTAGATCCTGGCTACACAGGAGTTGCAGCGGTGGGAACAAGAGGTGGGAATAGTCCCGTAGCCGTAGCTTCGGGAAGGAGACGTCTATCTTTAGTTTTAAGTAATATTTTCTTTTGTTCAAATTAGAAAAACCAGGCATTGTAGGGTTAATATCTTTTCATAAGTTAAAATATCTATAGCCTGACCAGGAACATAAAAACCCTGGCATAGAGGCGCCTAGGCGCGTCAATTGCATTTGATAGTGCAACACTGAGTACAGTCGTACATGTGTTAAATTAATAGGCTAAATTTATGTATCAGGATTCAGGATTACGGGCTAATTTGATATTTTCATAAATTAACGAAAAAATATTATTAAAGGTAACCTGGTTTAAATAAATTAAATGAAACCATCAATCGAGCTAGTAGGATTTATTCTATTATTCATCAATAATCAAATTCAGAACTTGAATATTCAACTGCAATGTCAGCTCATGAACGCTTCAAACTCGGTACTTCTTTCCCAATTCCATAAAATTCAAAACTTAGAAAGTGACAAAAAACTTTAAAATAGGTAGTTGAAACAGACTACAACTAATTTTCATAGTGGACTGTACTATACGATAAACATGTCAGTCAATTTGACAACCTTTGTCGGAAACATCAATGAAAATATTGTCCGAACCGTTAGCGTATTGTTCGCCGTGTGGTGACGGCAGAGTAGAATACATTTGTCACCAACCCCTACTCTTCCCGCGGGTGTCGTAAGAGGCGACTTAGGGACTACACATCAAACAGAGAATGGGCAGCAGCGCTCTCTGAAAAAACCAATTGCAGACATTTAAAATAAAGTTTGTTTACACTTTGACAACAATAGACTGACATGCAAGGTGACATGTCAATGAAGTTTTCAGTTACTGTTGCCATTAAAAGAAATTAGTACCATTAGTTTTCCGCAACATGGCGAGGGTTTTTATTTTCCTGGTCAGGCTATATCACATAATGTTTTTGTTTTATTAAACATTTTAACATCGTTAATAAAATGATACTAAATCATTCCATTGAGATTCTATTTAGGGTGAGAAATTAAAGTTTTCCTGAACGCATATTAATTTAGCTCCCAGGAGCCCATGTATGTGAAACTGAGTAAATGACCAATGACTACGAGGTAAGGAGGCGTGGTCTATCTATTCATTGGCCAAAACTGAGTTTTGTACTAGAGACGCTGGGCTGCGCTGCGGACTCTGACCTTGAATGACATTGATATGACATTTTATTATCATTTTGACAGCTGCTAATAACTTGTGATTTTGTTCGTGACCTCCTGAACTGCGATAATATTTGATTACTGCTATTAGAACAGTCAAGAAGTGTTCTTGGACTTTTGTAGAAAGATATTTTCATTCATCAAAAATGCTCAGTGTAGTTACAGTGCCTACTAACCCCTACGAGGGGCAAAAGCCGGGTACCAGTGGTTTGCGCAAGAAAGTTAAAGTTTTCCTTCAAGAAAACTACACGGAAAACTTTATCCAGAGTATCTTGGATGCTAATAAAGCAGATATTGTCGGCTCGACCCTTGTCGTTGGTGGAGACGGTCGCTATCTAGTAAAAGAGGTCGTGGACAAAATCATCAAAATTTCGGCGGGCAATGGTGTAAGTTTTCATTAATTTATTTTTACTTAGTTATTTTCTGGAAATATTACCTGGCTAACAGTAATTTATTTATGTAAAATTAAGTAAGCAAATATTATATATAAAATAAAAGTAATGTTACTCCTGTATCTTAAAATAGCCATGGTGAAGTGAAGGGTACTTTCATTTAGTATAATATTTATATAATAAATAAATAGGTTTCATTAGGTACATTTTTTATGTTAAATTTTTCTCAGACATTTTACATGTTAATGACACACAGTTTGTAAGCCAAGTGTTTTACATAATTGGGTAATTGATACCAGCAATCAACTGACATACTTTTTATGAATAGAGTTTTTAACTGTGTAGCAACATGTGTATGAACATTAAATATACAACTAACAACTCAATAGGTATAACTTTTCTCAATACAATGGGATTGACTATTTATTTATTTTAAAGCAAATAAAGATTTTCTATTGAAAACTACTAAAACAAGTATTTAGAGTGTAGTCATTGAAATTATTTTTTAACAACATATATTTCGTGTGTACTACTTGCATATTTGTCCCAATTTTTGTTTTATATTTTACACCTAAAATGACTTGTGTGGCCCGCATGTCATTAATGAAAATAGTTAATATTTATATTATTTCTGATGCATACAAACATTTTGGTTTAGGTAGCAAGACTGTTAGTGGGGCAAAATGGTATTCTCTCAACTCCTGCAGTCTCCTACATCATCAGAAAATACAAGACCCTTGGTAAGTATCTCTATATTTATATTATCAGGAGACTTTATTGAATTCCAAACAATCTAAAGAGAGAGAAATTGTTTAAACTAAGTAGGGTAAGACATCAAAAAGGATAATAAATTAGGTACTCTAAACTTTAGTCTCTAAACTAATATTTACTAATATAAAACTAAGTTTAAACTAATAGTAATACTTAACTTTAAACTTTAGAGTCTAAATATTTTTTTCGAATCAGTGTACCTATTTATGATTCTTTATAATCAGACCACTAACTGCGGATATCACCTTTTGCAAACAAAAACCAAACTATCATAGTTCAAAATTCAAATATCAATGATGATCAGCAACTTTTAGGCAAGATGATCATGATAACCTTGATTTGATTATCTGTAAATAAAAACTTGCCGAGTCATTCTGAGCTGACTGATGGCTTAGATATAAAGCACAATTCTGATGACTAAATATAAGTAAGAGGTGTGTCGTGATGACAGTGATTTTTTGCAAGGCCAATATGTACTAATCATAATTTTATTTTATTTTATTTTATTGTTAGGAAAACAAACAGCATTCTATAACACATATAGAGTTACCAATTAAACTTCACATTTGCCAAAATAGTTTTCACAAATAGTTTATGCATAGGTATCGTTTTTAAAAATTGAGTAAACAGAAACAGAAAAAGAAAACAAATTTTTTAGATTCTATGTTAAATATACTATGACTTGGCAATTAATTTAAACTCGAAATATCACATCGTTGTTAAAACAATAAATAGTTAGGTAATTACTGTTTTAACAACGACCTAAATTTGTTTGGTTTTAGGCTGAAAATATCTAAGTGACAGTATTTGGAGTTATACAATTTCATTGATCTTAGAATAAATCGGTTCATCGCATAATTAGTACGGCAAGAAGAAATGGCAAATGTATCGCATGACCTCATGTTCGCTCNTCCGATTCAATCAATTTTTGTGTTTAATTCTACTGGCCTACTTAAGTAAATTGTACCCATGTAATAATGGTACCTACTGATGGTATTTTTCCCAATGAATATTAATTTGTAATTATCTGTTTGGTTTGTTTATACAGGGTGTTGATTTCAATACTCGCCATATTTAGGGAGTTGATTAAGTAGCTTATTCTGATCTCGAATCAGTAAAAAAATTGACTTCGAAAAAAAATTAAAACGAACTTTAACTTTAGTTGGTCAAAGAAAAATACCTATTTACACTACCTACTTTACGTGGCTTCCTTCAGTAGGCTATCCGACATGATGACCGAGCGATCCGCGTAGCTTGATGGTGCCGCACTGTAAACTATTGCAGTTTTGAGAGCCACAGTTGATTTCACACGGAAAATATTCGCTAAAATGTTTTTTATAAATATGGCGAGGATTGAAATCAACACCCTGTATAATTTTCAAAAATTTTATTTAAATGTTTGTACATGTTCCTACAGAATACCAGCATCATTTTCTTTATGGAATATGATACAAGCTGAGTGGGAGCCATTTTGGTTTAACAATTTATTTATAATTATTATCCAAATTGTGTTAAATTACTATGTTTGAACCAAATAAACAATTTTTCTTTCTTTCTTTCCTTCTACATATAACATTATAAATTATTTAGATTTGCTAGCAGCTGCGCCTGCATATATTTAGGTCTGTCATAGAATTCTGTCATTTCTGAATTTATTTAAACAATTATTGAAATAAAAAGCTCATACTAAATTAATTGTATTTTATTTCTGTTCCAAGAATATTATTATCGAATATCGAGTATGTCCTCCTCCCTCCACACATAACCTTAAAGGAGCTATTTCAGATAGGTACGCCATTTGTCTCTGATAAATAAGACAGGGTTTTTTTATGCTGAACAAGGCAGGTATTTGACCGCAATCGCACCTGGTGTAAGTGAGATGCAGTTTAGAATGGTACATAATTGTCTGCCCTGTAAGTGCCTGTTTACTCTCACCTTGAAAAGGCCCGGATATAGTGTTCGGGAATGACAGCAGCAGGTAGAGAATTCCAGTCCCTAGCTGTTCGCATTATAAAAGAGTTATCGAGAATTGTTTTGATTAACGGGAACTAAAGAAGTACCTACCTAGGTACTTTTCCGTTTTACTAACATACTTCTTTTGATGCTGTTGAAGTAAATAACTGGTTAATCCTAATCAGGGATGTTTATTTTATTTTTATTTTATTGTTAGGAAAACAAACAGCATTCTATAACACATATAGAGTTACCAATTAAACTTCACATTTGCCAAAATAGTTTTCACAAATAGTTTATACATAGGTATCGTTTTTAAAAATTGAGTAAACAGAAACAGAAAAAGAAAACAAATTTTTTAGATTCTATGTTAAATATACTATGACTTGGCTATTAATTTAAACTCGAAATATCACATCGTTGTTAAAACAATAAATAGTTAGGTAATTACTGTTTTAACAACGACCTAAATTTGTTTGGTTTTAGGCTGAAAATATCTAAGTGACAGTATTTGGAGTTATACAATTTCATTGATCTTAGAATAAATCGGTTCATCGCATAATTAGTACGGCAAGAAGAAATGGCAAATGTATCGCATGACCTCATGTTCGCTCTCGGACATCGCAACAAAACCTTACTCAAAAGGTAGGGCGAGTCAACATAGCCATTAACAACTTTGTACAATAAAAGTTGATCGCAGTGTTCTCTTCGCAAAGCAAGAGACACAACGCTGTCAGCGTCAAAGTCTCCTCGAAATTTATATCTCATTCTCCGTATAAATTTGTTTTGAATCTTTTCAATTGAGTTTATATATATAAGATACTGGGGATTCCAGACAGTCGACGCATATTCGAGCTGTGATCTGACCAGGACATTATACAGCAGTATTAGAGTATAGACACTAGTAAATTCGCGACCTTGTCTAAAAATAAACCCCAACAACTGATATGCCTTAGAAGTGATTTTGTTTATGTGCGAAGAAAACAACAATTCACTGTCCAGTATTATGCCTAGGTCTCTCACCTCGGTCGATCGCTTAAGATTTTGACCAAAAATTGTATAATTAAATTGTAATGGACGTTTTTTTCTACTATAAGTGATTACACAGCATTTATCAATATTGAGAAATAACCTATTTTTAACACAATAGTCACACAATCGCTTTATATCTTCTTGCAAGGCGAAACAGTCCTCCAAAGATTTTACTACTGTATAAATTTTTGTATCATCTGCGAATAGGAGACAATTGGAATGTCGAAAGCAATCTACCACGTCATTTATAAAAATGTTAAACAATAACGGTCCGAGGTGAGAGCCCTGAGGCACCCCAGAAGGAGCTGGAATAAAACTAGACATGTAACCCTTCAGTGTGACAGCTTGGGTTCTGTTCATGAGATAGGATTTCAGCCATCTCAGGAGATCGCCATGTATACCGAAATATTCTAGTTTACTTATCAAAATTGTATGCGAGATTTTATCAAAACATTTTGAATAATCGGTATACACGGCGTCCACCTGAAAACCTCTATCCATACTGTGGAGTACTTGGTCCAGGAATTCACACAGATTAGTCTCAGTGGACCGCTTGTCGATAAAGCCGTGCTGTTGGGTAATTAAGAAGGGTCTGACAGCTGGAAACAGAGAATCAAATATTATTTTCTCAAAGAGTTTGGGAATCACAGACAACTTGGATATGCCCCTATAATTACGTATATTATGCTTGTCACCACTTTTAAAGATGGGAACAACCAGCGACTGTTTCCACACGCTTGGCATGACACCGCGAGTCAGTGAGAGGTGGAATAGAAAGGAGATAGGGCTCGATAACTCCTTAGAACATATTTTAAGAAAATAAGGATGTATCCCATCAGGACCTGCCCCCTTGCTCACATCGATACGAGATAAATATTTTTCAACTATCGCCGCAGTTATTTCGATAGATTCAATAATACAATTATTCGACTCACGACACGATTGGTTGACAGGATCTAGGTCAACGTCCGTCTCGAAGACAGACTGGAAAAAAGAGTTAAACATATTAGCAATAGTTAAACCATCCGAACCAGTGGAATCATCATAATACAGTGTTTCCGGAATAGTGTTTGTACCTTTTTTTGACTTAATATATGACCAAAAATGTTTTATATTATGTTTAATATTATTTTCTGTTTTAGATATAAAAGAGTGATAACATGACTTCTGTAACGATTTAATCTCTTTGCGAAGTGCAGAGAATGCAAGATAATCACTATGTCTGTTATAACATTTCCATTTCTTATGAATTTTATTTTTCTTTTTTATTAACTGTATCAACGGTCGGGAGTACCAAGCAGGGTAACTATTCCCCCGGGACAAAACTTTCTTCGGGACATGGAGCTCCACTATTGCATTAATAGCCTCATAAAAGTTTTCAACCGCTATATCGACCGAGCTAACATTAAGACATCGCTCCCAATCAACCTGCGCGATAGCACGTCTAATGGCCTCGTAGTCGGCCGCATAGAAGCGACGAGTAGTGCGCGGCGCGGGCCGCAGGCTCGGCGCGGCGGCCAGCGCGCACCGCACGCCCAGCGCCGGGTGGTGCGCGTCCTCCGGCAGCGACAGCGGCTCCACTCGACTGACGGTACATTCAAGGCTAGATATTACGAGGTCTAAATGTCTATTATTGTGATTACTTACGCTGTTGTACTGCGACCATCCCACGTATGTTAAAAATGTATGGAGCTGGGTAACGAGTTTGTCCTTATAAGGATTAATGAGAAATAAACCTGGTCCTGAATTCACACTCCAACTGGCATCTCGAATATTAAAGTCACCAACGATTATGTATTCCTCATTGGGATCATCTAAGCTCAAGTCAGATACGTAATCAAAAAATAATTGTTCAGATGTCTCCTGATTATTACTCTGAAGAAAATAACAACAAAATATTCGTAAGCTCACTGGGCCGCAAGACCGATTTAAAGTAATTCTAACGCTCGTAATCTCGGTATCGGCGAGCGCCGGTAGCGGTTGCGCAACCCGCGTGTCCACCGGCAGCCCGAGGCGCACCGCGACGAG